ATCCAGCTCCAAAATCAAAATGCTTCTTTTCTGAAGTACCAAGATGAACTGTTTTGACATTCTTTTTTTAATTCATGGATACTTTGGGTTACCACAAAACTACATTTTCAGCAAGTAAAATATTTGCCATCCCCTCCCGTCGCTACCAAATAATGTCTAACTCTAGCACTGAGCGCATTTTCTTCCATATGAGTCAGCGGCAATTAACTCCTCACAACAATGTGTTTAGCAAAGGGTTCAAGCTGACTCCTATTCAAGTTAATGGAATTTGGCCATCAGCATCCCTTGAAGGAAGACTGGGCCCTATATTTTACATATCATATATACTGTTATCACAGAACAAAAATTCCTGGAGTTAAGAAAAGTTCAGAGTCAATAGATCTGAATTTCTTTTTCTGTGGAATTTATAACTTTAATGTGAAGGGTCTGGTCAATCTCCAACAAATGTTTTACACAAACATCCCTCTCTTTTTAACAATTTTTTTAAATGAAAGACCTCATTGTAAATGTATGAGATTCTCTGATAGTCTTTAGATAATAACACAATTCATTTTAATAACCCCTCTTGTGTCAATATTAATGTGTATGCTAAAAAGGCCATCATTGTACAATCTCAATACTATGCTGTACATGTGGAGTAAGAGCCCAATACGACAGCTCCTGCAGCATATCTTAAATATGCATGCCTCAACTACTAAAATCCTTTTGAATGCAACACAGTAGTTGCTGTTAAATCTCTCTCACAGCAATGTTTTAATATTTGGTGAAAAAAATAAATGGTAATCTGGCTGAGGCAGTAAAATATAAATTCTTTGAATTGCAGGATGATACCTGCTCTCAAAATCTGTTCACTGCATTTTCCTACCCGGTCCAGTAAAAAATATATATTTATTAGCTTGGAAAATCTTGCATGCTTTTTTCTGAAACAAAGCAAAATGATAACCAAAAGTGGTCTTAAAGTTTAAGCTTCCAGTCCTTCAATGGGTTTACTTCTATGATTAAATAAAGGGAAGATCAGGGCCAATGAGGCAAAGGCCTGTTCTTAAATCCATCAGTCATTGGCAAAGCTCCCACTGGCTTCACTGCAGTAGCTGAGCCTATGCATGCTTAACATTAGGCAGTACTAAGAGTGGCTGAAACGATTTACACAAATATAGTCAATACAAACAAAAATGGGCTTCTTAGCTCAGATACTGTATGTTAAATTCTAACCCGGGGCAACTTCTCAGAGTACATTATATAAACACTGGACCTTGACAGTGGTACTAGGACTCTGTCATGTATGATGGATTTAGCTCAACATTTCGGGCTCTTTGGTTTAGCTGCTGCCTTGACAAAGCCTAATGTAAGAAATATATTAACATATTTTAAAATTCAACAAAAGCATGTTAAGGGAGTCCCTGGTGCTTCAGAGGAAGGAACATAGAGCAACATTAGAACTGTAGATCAGTATCAGAAAGTGGGATTTACTAGAAAGGGGATGAAGCAAGCCATTCAGGTGCAGAGCTCAAATTAGTGAAAGTGCAAAAAGTAAGATAACATCATAAAAAGGTGAAATGTTCTTTAAGGGCTTAATCCTGCCCCCACACAGTTGAGTAGCTTTACAGCCAGAAGCAGCCATTGTAAAAATGTGCATCTGCATAAGTATTTGTGAGATCAAACTATGCCTGTTTCTTCTGAACAATAAATGTGTAAATTGGAATCAATAATAACTTTTAAAATATATATATTCGTATCGTAAAAAGTTTCATTTAACACTGACAACACTGCTTAAGAATCTGAGTCTGTAGATGCTGTGTAGGCCAGATCCAACTCTTAAAGGTCAAAAGAAAGGTTCTCACTCAATTCACTGCAGTTTCTCTGAAGGCAAGAATAAGGCCTAAGACGGGCTAATGCATGAGCAAAGAGTCACTCCAACGCTAATGAATCCTGATGAAGAATTCTGATGCTATCATACTGTGACATGGATGACAGTTTTGTAATCCCTCAATGGAACTATAGACTAGAAACTGCCATTTCAACATACACTGACATTTCTAGTCCAGAGAAAGGGTCCCAAGCTTCAAACCCTTACTTCTTAACAATTACATTTAGCATTTAAACATTGTAGGGACATCAACTGATTAATCGGACATGAGTCATTTGGACCTATAGTCACACTGAAGTCAATAAGACTAATGGCAACCTAAGAAGAATTACCCCTGTTCAGGTTTGCAAGATCAGTGGTTAGTTTTTCAGTGTGCCTTACTGTTACATAATCTGTTATTAAGATAATAGACAAGAGAAGATAACACTTTATATATAAACATTGGAATACGGTTCTAAAATCGGTATTGCACTTTCAGCTGTCATGCAGCCTGCCTTTTGCAACAGAATCAAAATGATATAATACAAGTCTAATTACAAAAAATGTGACTCATTACGCAGTGTCTGGTACAATTACAAAATAGTAATCCATCACAAATTACAAAACTATACTTGACAAATATATTAATGTTAACATTATCTATTTGTAATGCATATCACATGACTTTCAAATGTAAGTGTTACAACTGCTTTCCTATTGTATTAGTAATCATTCAATACAGCATTTATTTTATCCCAGAAATATTTCCAATTTTACTCAAATGATTTTTTCATATTAAATCTTTGAATTCAAATTGCCTGCAGAACTCCTAAGAAACTCTTACAGCTCAAATAAATGTATTTGTGACAGAAATGAAAGGAATTCACTTTGAAGAGATCATATTTCCTTTACAAACAGAAAAAAATGAAAATTTTACATACAGATCTTCTAAGGGAGAAGATAATGGAGATTTAGAGCATGTTCAAGATTAATGTTTAACTGATTATTAATCTATGCATTTTATTTAAAATGTTATATGAAGTGTTGTATTCATACCCTTAAAACTATATCCTTAAATCTTTTCTTTCCCTTTCATTTGAAAGAAGGAACATATCATAGGAAAATGTTACAATATATTTCTTGATCCTTATTCAAACACAATGGGAAACGTGATCATTGTAAAAATGAACAGAACAAAAAAAAGACAGACATAACGAGGCAGAATCTACTTAAATTTAATATAATCTGAATCTAATATACATTAAGCCTCTCCTTCTGTTCATAGGCACCTATTTAAAGCCCAGGGTGACCTGCAGAACTTGACCTCAAGTGAAATAAAGACTACAGTACTAGCTGATTAAAGTAAAGGAGTCTCCAGCCTAGAGTCAAAGAGTGTCAGAGAAGGTGAGGTCTGTGGAAATGTCATTTCCAAAAGGGTCAGGCAGGGGTCAAATAAAATGATCTGAATAAGCATCTCCTTTCAGCAGCAAATTATGAAGCCCTTACTCCTCATGCAAGCAGTCCCACTGCTTTGAATGTTGAGTGCCACTGTAGCAATAATGTAATAATTAAACTTAAGACCCTTCCTCCCCTCAAAAACGTACCCAGTCTATTTATTTCCCTCTGATCTAGTGACAGGATGGTTTGCATCCTTTACCGGTATAAGACATAGACCTGTGTGAGTGTGTGCGAAGCCTGAGAGAGAAGATAACGTTTCAAGGACACACTTAGCATATGATCAGAAAAATCACCTTCCCTGGCCAATGGGCAAAGTGCCCACGGTAAGGAACGCAGAAGAGGCCTGGCCACGCATATCTCATAAGCATTACTTTTTCAGTTATTTATTAGGACTTGTATGAAGCATCTCACTACCAAGGATGCTTGGGGAGGGGGGAGACGCACATTAAGCAAGGCTGCTGCTTCTTGCCTAAAAGTAAGTAGGATGCTATTGTGACAGTTCATACATCCTCCAGCTCCTCATCTCTACCACCCTACTGCAGAATTAAAAAAAACAAACAAAAAAAGCAGCAACTCCTTATTAGTCTGGAGCAGGACGTCTGAGAGAGCTGTTCAGCACTCAGGCCATGGGCAGGTACTGAGGGTTGACTGGACAAGGCACTGGAGCTCTCCAAGCCCAGGTGCTACAGGGATCCCTCACCAATGCCCCAGCTGGTGGCTGCTGGATGGCTCGATATCTGCGGCTCTGGAGGGAGCAGGCCTATTGGACGCAGACTGATAATGCGGGCCTTCTGCCCACAGAGCAATGGTCATCCCCCGCTGTTAACAGAGGGGTCTATTGGGTATGCGCCAGCTGAATTTGTGGGGCAAATAAGAAAGGAAACCCAGGGAAAGGAACAAGGGTCAGAGGTTCAAAACAAGTGCGTGGGGGGCAGAGTACACCTCGGGAGGCCTTTTGCTATGCCATTCTGCAATGTGGGCCAAAGCCCACTGAGCAGAGCTGTAAGGGGGCAGATGGAAGCCGTGCACCGAGTGACAAGACCAGACGGTAGCTCATAGATTTGGATGTCGATATCTGTTGGCGACAGGGACCATACTGAGGGCACATCACTGAGGGCTTGGGACAACATGGAGACAAAACAGGGCTGGGAGCAAGGGGCATAGGTTTCAAAGGGGGAGATGGGGGCAGAGCCTGGTGAAGAGGAAGGGAATGAGCCCGGGGGGGGCACAGGAGCAGGGACTTAGCCCGGGAGGGGGCACAGGGGCAGGCACTGGAGCCTGGGTAGGGATACAGGGGCAGGCACAGAGTTGGGGGGGGGGGGAA